TTATAATCTCTCAATCTGAATTGTCTGTGATCCTCGGCATCACTCCTTTCTGTTTTTAACAACCTACTCAGAGTTTGTGCGCCATTTCTTCTGAGGGCAGGTCGCACGTGTCAAAGAATATGACTATTGTCGGCATCAGCTGAGGTTACAACAAAGACTATTTATTTACGCTTAGTGCATGGTGTTTTCCAAACAATTTACTGGTCTGTTTGAAGCGAGTATGTTTCACCACGTGCGATGTCTCACAAAGACCAGTAGTTCACTATGTGTGCAACAACAATTTGTCATCGTTTTTGTAAATAGTCTATCCATTTTGCGGTGTTCTGTCTTATTGTTATTGGTTAAGTGGGTCACTTAGGGAGGGAGGTGAGAGCTTTACTTTCACAGTGCTAACTACCTTCTTTAGATCTATGAGTGCGGGTCGACACTGGGATCGTAAAACTACATGATGACGCAACAACATGATGTGTTGTAAATCAACATATTTACCTGTTGAAAGTGACTTTCTAGCCATGACTTGAATGTGACGAGCACTGCACTGAATTGCACAGAACCAAAAATACAAACAATTTCTCAGAGTTTGACAAATTAAACAATACAACTGATATTGATTTGCTCAATGTTTTTTTCATAATTTATTCACTTTGTCAGTGTTTGAAATCACTGCTCGCCCATACATCCAAGACAGGTAACTTTCCAATCGGGCTGGTTAAAATTAAAACTTGCATGCCCGGTGGTCTGGCAACATTTTTCATGGTCTGTTTCAATACAAATAATACTGTTGGATTAAGTTGAACACCATTCCCTCTCTGATGGGTGTTACAATTTAAAATAGTTTTTGTGGTGCTTACTTTGAAATGGGAATGATGTGTATTTTAAAATGATCTTTAATGCACGATTAATAACTTTCTGACTGGGCTGGTAAAACTTTAATGTTACCTGCTCTGGTGAAAGAATATTTTTCACTTACTTTATTGTGAAATATGTTGGTCATTTCTAAATGCAATTGTTTAGACTTTTTCTGCTGTACTTTTTCATATCATTGTTGTGTTTTTGAATAAAACATGTATTTTTTGCGTGTAGGTTTTGGTTTTTATACATACCCCCGGTACCTCCTTAAAGTTCTCTTGTAACGTAACCTGCAGATGCACAGTAAATCGGCAATGTTACACTGATGGGTTTCTGGATATACATGTAAAGTAATATATGATCATCTACCGACCGACCACTGCATTGACCCCCCTAGCTATTGACAAGTTAAAAGCAAACTCTGCTGTTTAAGTTACTACATTTGCCCAGTGGCTGATTTGTAGTTAAGTGATTTGTGATATTACTCTATTGTGTTCTGTTTTGTTTACAGTTGTCTATGTACACTAATTGTTCAAGGTTGCTAAAAATTCGAAACATTGTAGCTAAATGTTGTGGACCACCGTCACTGTCTGGTGAATCATTTTTAAATTTAGGGATTGACCATCTGAAACTTGGAGGTGAAAGATTTCTGGCATTGGGAGGGGGGGGGGGGTATGCAAACTTTGAAAAATAAAATTCCACTGGAATTTACAGAAAAAATAACAAAAATATATTTTTAAAATATAATCTTGTACACATTTAACGAAGAAAAGCACAAGAACCAAAATCAATTCTAGCAGCACCTTCATTAAAAAAAAATTACCTCGAAAATAAGTAAAGAAAAATTGATTTGCCTCAATAGTTCTACTTCCCCTTCCCTATACCCCTGAGTTTCAAATGGTCAACCCCTTAATCCACATATTGTTCTCTACCAGAGTATGATTTCAGTGAATACATAATTATTCACATTGTTTTAATTCCGCCAATAAAAAAAATCCACTAGTTCTACCCAATATGTAAAATTACTCTGGCCGTTCCATGAATTTAAAACCAAGTGAATATGGGCAAAATCAAAACATTGACATTAAAATTATTTGTGTTTCTCTTTGTGTGATATTGTAAATAGCAGCACATACAGTAGCTGGTGTTGTGAAGTGGATGTAGAAAAAGCCCTGAGAGATGAATTAATGAGACTTGTAACATGTACACAGCTCATATCAAATTACTTGACTAACTGGATTGTTTTATAATTGAGACACAATTCCTAGACTACTGTAGACAGGATGTGATGATAATTATTCATTTGAAAAATGGTAATTTGTGGGAATCAATCCGTCATCTTTTTTTATATGTGGGGATTAGTGATAAACTTTCACAAATCCAATAGAGCAAGGAATGCTGTAAAATGACTAATTTTCAGTAGGTTTAAATTTCACTGATTTGCCATTTCAGGCATATTCAGTTGGTTTTAAATTCACGGTTTTATCATTTAGATAATGTGTTCTATGCTAAATTTACATATTCACTGGGTTTTAATTTAGCACATTTTCCAGTCAGCGAAATAAACCAAATTAAAACCCAGTGAATAATTAACCCCTTTACAGTATAGTGTAATTTTGTACTGAGTGTTTTCGTCTCGCTTTGGGGTCTTGTGACTGTTGTTTGGCAAGTTTGATTACCTGAATATGTATGTGTGAAAATATGAGAATTGGCCAGTATTTAAAATACTACATTCTTTAATAAAGCTGAACAAAAAATAAATTCACACAATTCAGAAGTATTAGCAAAGGAAATTAAAACCCAAAACGATGTCTGGCATTTAGACGCACCAAAAAGCATTGAAGGTGTACATTTCCCACAACTTATGAAATTACAGTCCTTGTCAAATTATATCACCATGACCCCAATAAAGCACTATGATTGATCACAGAATGCAATATTGTCTCTGCCAAAGATGTCAAATTATCAAATCAACCAAATTGATAGTGATGTTAACACAGATTTGTCTTGCTATGTGACAAGCTTGAATGAACACAAGCTCAAACCCATATCACCTCATTACAAATAGTCCAATCAATGATGACTAGTGTGTACATTGGTTTCTGGATGTCTGCTTTCCCAGTCCAGAGTTCAAAATAAAAAACAAACATTCTCATTTTTCAAAGAATAAACCTGAAAAATTGTTGGGGACAATGTCAGTCAAAGTCAAGTTAGGATCTTCCTGCTCAAAAAGTATTAAATTCTTTTTTTTTTCCCAGGAAACATGTAGGTACAGTAAAACCACTAATTTTCACAATTTTGATGTTTACTGGGTTTTTAAGTCTACGAACTTGGCAGGAAAACGATGATTTTTGTTGTTGTTATTTTGTGTATTTAATTTAGTGAATTTTACATATCAGAAAAAATTATAAAATTAAAAATCAGTGAATAATTTATACTTTAACAGTACTGTGAAAATGCCGAAAGTGGAGGTCTGAGTCTCCCACCAATTTGACTTTCATATTAAATTGCATAGTTTCCCACTCACATCCTGTTCGTGACCAGTTTGGGAGTCATCTATTATAACTTGTGTACAAAGTACATTGATTTATAATGTTAATACCAAAACATGGTAGGAAGGGCATAAGGACATTCAGTTCCTGAATACCAGTTCAGGATAATGTATATGTGAAAATATCTGTTCAAAGTGGAATCATGTATTATGAAATATTATATAAACTGTTAATTTTCCTGCCAGAATATTTGATCATTATTGGTGTTTTTATAAGCACAAAATTGTGCAAAATTTTGTTGTCTTAAAATTAAAATGCTACAAAGTTTCAAACCTTATGCACCAGTCACTGGCAGCATAGTGGCTGTTGCGTCAGCGATGAGATTGGTAGAGCTACAAATCCTACCTTAAGCTGAACACCACTTAAGTATTGACCCTCCTACCCTGGGTGAGGTGCCACAGACTCAATGGAAAGTCTAATTCCACTGGCCGAGATTCATTCACTAACAAATGCGACATTGTTGAAACCTTGGTTAAAGTCAACAGGTGCTTGTGTTCGACCGAGCCTGGTTTACACCAAGATAGTGCATTAAATTGCTATTTGACAGTCATATAGTTGCAAACAAGATTTTAGCTTCTGTAGCAAAAATGCACTACAATTTGTGTATAATATGAGCACTTTTAATTTGCATATTAAGTATGGTGAGGCAACAGTGACATTCAATGTCGCCTGCAGTGAATATAAAAGATATAGGAGTCCAGTGAATCCTGGAATGGAATCCTGTAACTCATGTAGTGCTGCTATTGTTAAATAAGTTGGGTAATCACACACAAGGCATTTCTCAGTCTGTCTATGTAGTAGTTTGTGTAATGACGATATAAACTATTCAACTGCAAAATCAGGTCACAGTAAACTTGCAATAGACTTAAACTTACATGTACTACAACTTGTACTTTTAGAATACTTAATGTCGTGTTTTTCTGTGATTTGTTTGATGCAGAATAAATGTCATGTACTGAATGGTTTAAAATTTAGTGGAAATGTTTCAGAGTAATTTAATAGGGAGAGAAAGAATTTTTGCTTTTTCATTTTCATAGCCACTTAGTATTTAATGTATAGATACTGGTACTAGCTGTTAACTTGTTTCTGAACGATGACAATTTTCATGCTTTGAAATTCATCTTAACCAGTGGTGGTAAATAATAAATTTGTGGTACTTATAGCGTGAAGTAATTCACCATTAGTGACTGGCATAGTGTTAAAGTGTTGGAAGACTAGGTTCGCAGTTAATACTGTAAAATACTTTATTTTGGCTGGAATTTATTTTCGCTGAAAAGACTTTTTGGGTGTTTTGTATGAAATTTATTTTCACTGATTCTTGATGATTTATGTGTAAAATATGGAAAAAAAATGTATATTCGCGGGATTTTGTAGATTCACTAAATTATTCATTCCAACGAAAATAGCGAACATTAATTCCAAGTGAAAATAAAGTAATTTACAGTAATTACTGGTACTGATAATTGAGGCCAATATAGCAGCCATAGGAAGGTTACCCTCCTCATTACTTCAGATTCTTACACATGTGGAACCATTCATTTTTTTTGGTTTATTTACTTAATTCAACCTTGTTTTTTGTTTTGTTTATTTTGTCTACAGGAGAAGGACACCAAGGAGCAGGATGATACTCTCACTCCGCATCTCTCAAAAAAAGAGGAGAGGTTCCAGGAGTTTGCTTCCTGTGAATATGATGGTCAAATGTTTATGACACCTCAGGATTTCCTAGAGTCAGTCACACAGGAAGAGCCTAGAGGTAGGATTTAATGGCTTTTTTCATTTTGTGTCCGTTGATGGCATACATGAAGAAAGTAACGATGTTTAGACTCATTCCAAATATAGTGAAAATAATCAACACATTTGAATCATTGTATGGGTGGAATTAATCCTTGTTTAGTAATAGAACTTGATTTTATCTGAGATTTAGGGATAGTAGATGTCATTACCAAATAGTAGATGTCATTTGAATATTGTAAATTGCTTGGTAAGAAAACCTGATATTAGGGTTAATACAGTGGAGTCAAAGGAATCATGGGTTTAAACATTAAATCATGGCCCTACATACACAGAAGCATGGCATATACGAACTACTAACATTAGTGAGTTCAAATTGTCACTGAAAAATGGCTTTTCATTGTGTTTTATCTTTACAAAAAAACATAGCAGAATTGACATCATCCTAACAAAACATGTGTACAGTACACAGTAGAGGTGTGGTGAATTTGTTTGAAGGGAATGCTGTTTAAAAAAATGACTTGTTTGATAAGCTTTGATCTTTTGGACAGTCTGTGTTTTGATACCTGGTCCTTCAAACATCATTTCTTGTGAACACTGGGTAATATTGAATTTTGTCGTCTTGTATATTCGACACATCACTGGCTGGCACTGTTTTTAAATTCCCATTCATTTTAGCCATCTGCAGAGGGTTTCAGGGATCTGTTAATTGATTTGAACTTTATTTGACGTCTTATTAAAGTCACTGGCCATGTAATGAAATTTGGTGAGAAAACACAATTGGCTGAATAATATCTATGTAATGTAGAGATATAATTGATTTTATATGCTCATTTACATAATTATTATATTTATGTACTGTAAAATGATTAATTTTCACTGGGTTTAAATTTCGCTGATTTACCATTTCAGGCATATTCAGTGGTTTTAAATTTACAGTTTTATCATTTAGATAATGTGTTCTATGCTAAATTTTACATATTCACTGGGTTTTAATTTAGCGCATTTTCCAGCCAGCGAAATAAACCAAATTAAAACCCAGTGAATAATTAACCTATTTACAGTATGCCCTGTTCAGAGTGTATTTTAATATCAATACAAGAATATACCTGTGTTCATACATGCTTGGTATATTGTTAGAAGCACATGGCCAATTCACTTGTTACTGGAGAGCGTTTACAATGTTTTTAGTTACACCATTTGTTGTATTGATATAATGATCTGACAAAAAAATATTGTATTCTGGTAGACTGTAGAACCATTTATTTTCACTGGCGTTTAATTTTCAGTTTTTTGATGTATTGAGCAAATTCACTGGGTGTTACGTTCACAATAAGAAACAAGTTCTATTGTTATTTTACATGTTCACATAGATCTAATTTCACTTATCTGCGAAAATAGAGAAATTAAAAATAATACCTGATTAAGGTATAACGTATTTGCTTTATTATAAACCCATCTCCAATAGAAGCACACAATAAATAAAAATACATCTTTAGAATTTAAAGCAGCGGAGTCGTCACCTGCGCATGCGTCAGATGGCCATAGCATGTCATTGTTTACAAACAAGTGTCTACCCATGAGCCTTTGCGTTTTTAGCGTATGTTGTAATCGCCGCTTGGGACTCATTTCCCGCGTGTGCTCAGGTGACGACCCTCCCGCTTCAATCATGGCTTATTTTGCCGATAGACTCTTGTGTCCTTTACATATGATAATAACAATAAGATTAGCTGGTGATTGTTTCAGAAATGCTTCCTCTTTCCATCTTACTTTCATTCACAATAGATCTATCTACTCTGCTGCATATTGTCGAATATTTTATTTTAGCCCAAATTTCAGATTATTTTGTAATCTGTGGGCAACTTCAAATGATAAAAAAAATTGTAATTCTGCATGTACCATACATTAACATGTGTACGTGAATACTTAAATGTTATTGATGGGTGGTGAGAACATACTCTACATGTGTAGTAATCGACAGTACTGAGAACTCTGTAAACATGTAATTGATATCATTAAGTAAACAACAATCATTCAGAGCAGACATAACAGGCAGAGTGGTGGGCAAAAATTGAATTTCTCATTAGGGAGAAGTTGAGATGTTGTTTTGTAGGCACACTTTTCAAGTTGTTTTTATGTTGTATATGCTAACAGCCACTGTCTTACCCACTAATTGGTAACAGTGCCATTTCTGTTGCATGTTAATAGTGATACAAAACTGCTGTAATACATAGCGTTACAAAAGTCTATCTCACATTGCCAATTGGTAACAAAGCCATTTCTGTTACATGTACCGAGCATTATAGAATCTTGTATTGCACTGCTGCTAAAATACTAACGAAAAATGTTTTGGGCTGTAACACTTTCGAACATGTTCGTACAGCATTTTACTGACTGACAAATTATATTGTTTTCAGTGTTAAATGTATAATAATGTATAATACATTAGACATGCAAAATTGTATTACACCATTAATTGGTGAAAATGTAATGTATAATACATTGAGATGTAAATTCCATGTATTACACCACTAATTAGTAAGAATGTAATGTATAATACATTGAGATGTAAAATCCACGTATTACACCTCTAATTATTAAGAATGTAATGTATAATACATTGAGATATAAATTCCACGTATTACACCACTAATTGGTAAGAATGTAATGTATAATACATTGAGATGTAAAATCCATGTATTACACCTCTAATTCGTAAGAATGTAATGTATAATACATTGAGATGTAAATTCTATGTATTACACCACTAATTGGTAAGAATTTAATGCGTAATACATTGAGATGTAAATATCATGTATTACACCACTAATTGGTAACAATGTAATGTATAATACATTGAGATGTAAATTCAATGTATTACACCACTAATTGGTAAGAATTTAATGTATAATACATTGAGATGTAAATTCCATGTATTACACCACTAATTGGTAAGAATGTAATGTAAATTCAATGTATTACATCATTAATTGGTAAGAATGTACTGTATAATACATTGAGATATAAAATCCATGTATTACACCACTAATTGGTAAGAATGTAATGTATAATACATTGAGATGTAAAATCCATGTATTACACCACTAATTGATAAGAATGTAATGTATAATACATTGGGATGTAAAATCCATGTATTACACCACTAATTGGTAAGAATGTAATGTATAATACATTGAGATGTAAATTCCATGTATTATACCACTAATTGGTAAGAATGTAATGTATAATACATTGAGATGTAAAATCCATGTATTACACCACTAATTGATAAGAATGTAATGTATAATACATTGAGATGTAAATTCCATGTATTACACCATTAATTGGTAAGAATGTATTGTATAATAGTTAATACATTGAGATTATGTCATTGAAAATGACTTGTTATTCACATGAAATTAAAACCCAGTGAATACTTAGATTTAATAAAATAATGCATCGTTTCATTGAGAAACCAAAGAATTTAAATGCTACTGAACATATCTGAAAAATCAATTTTGATAAAATTAAACCCAGTGAAAATTTCTCCCTCAACAGTAATAGATCATAACTTAATTTGACCTCAGTCATTTCTGTAAGCAAAATCAGTATTCACTTGCTACATTCATGTTATGGGATCTCGGCACATACCAAAATTTGTAGTCCTTTGTGTTTTGCAGAGAGATTACATTAGTTGCATTCATGTTAGTCGGGACTCACTTGGGGCCGACTTGGACTGTGCCGAAATTACACCCTTATTCGTTGATCTGTTATATGACCCAAAACATGGAAAAAATTACATGCATATGATGATGATAATAATTGCTAATTGAAATTATATCCATCCATTCATTCATTGTCATGTCATACTAGAATGAATCAGTACATGTTCTCTTAAATTCATGCAGCAAATGTCGACAAGTGCCGAGTTTTGGTCCCGAGCATCTTTCAGTACCGAGTACGTTTTTTTTGGCACATGCTGACTTGGTTTCAACTGTTCACATACATGTTTTGGCACTTGCTGACTCGGTTCTGAGTCTCGGCAAGTGCCGAGATCTCTAATGTGAACGCCACTGTTTTTTTACCTTGATGAAAATGGTACATATATAGAACAACAGTACTGATGTGACATGTTGGTAGAAGTGGTGTACAGTAAATTGGACTGTGGTTGTCAGACTTTTGTTCACTACCTTTAATAATGTAATCAAAAATGCATCACTGTCTGTCAGACATCCAAGATGTGATGTAAACAGCCTGATAAAAATTATATAGCATGTAAGTTAAGAAGAGAAAGAAATCTATTTCCAGATTTATTTGGTACATATTGTACATTCCGAACTATCCTACATGACCTCAGTTTTTTTTTTATTGGTTGTACAGAATTCTTCATACAAATGTGTGAATCACAAACCGGCACCAATTTGAAGATGAGGTTTTTTGACCTATGTATGTGTACTTTTATGAGATTTGAATTGCATACATAGCCAATGTTATTGCAAACTGGATAATGTTTGGGAAATACATGTACTGTAAAATACTTTATTTTTAATTAATTTTAATTAATTTTCGCTGATTAAACATTTTGGGTGTTTTGTATGGAATTTCTTTCACTGGTTTTTGATGAGTTGAATGTAATATACTGTAGAATACTTTATTTTCGCTTGGAATTTATTTTCGCTATTTTCGCTGAAGGGATGTTTCCGTGAAAATAAAATCCAGCGAATATACTTTTTTTCCTATATTTTACATTAAACTCATCAAAAATCAGTGAAAATAAATTCCACACAAAACACCCAAAAAGCCTTTTCAGCGAAAATTAATTCCAGCGAAAATAAAGTATTCCACAGTAATATATAGGAGAAAGATATATTCACTGAATGTCATTTTCACTGAATCAATCCCTCAGCGAAAATAGCGAAAATAAAGTATTTTACAGTATAATTGGCAGCAATATAGAGTTTTTCATCACTGTATACATTATGGTATACACTACGTTCTTAACAATTAAATGCATCTTTTGGT